TCCATTCTGTGAGCCCCAGGAGGAGACGACAGGGTGTAGACTCAGCCATTACTAAGTATTCTGTTGAGTTAAAAGTGCGGACTCTGGAGCCAGAATGCCCAGCTTCCTGTCCTGGCTCTGCACGCTGTGTGATCTTGGGCAAGTCCTTCTCTGTGCCTCATTTCTTCACCTGTAAAATGGGGATAATCAGGGTTTTTTTTCATTGGGTTGAGGATTGAATGAAAGTTCCTGAAGTGATAGCTCCAGCACTGTGCCTGGCCCAGAGGAAGCACTAAGGATGAAGCAGCTTTTACTATGAATAGGAGGCTGCACCGGAGGGGTTCATCTCAAACAGGAGAGAGCGCTGGTTTCAGCTTTTGCCCTTTCTCGGGAGTGACTCCTCAATCAAACAGGAGGAAGGTGGGGCATGCACTGTCTCATCATTGCCAGGAGCCTCCCTGCAGCAACCCGGGTAGGTGGTCTTGGGTAGGTGGTCTTGTCCCAGTTTTATAGACCAGGAAAGTGAAGTTAAGGAACTTGCCCCAGGTCAGCCAGACACAGAATACTCTTTTTTTTTTTTTTTTTTTTTTTGAGACAGAGTTTCGCTCTGTTGCCCAGGCTGGAGTGCAGTGGCACAATCTCAGCTCACTGCAACCTCCACCTCCTGGGTTCAAGCGATTCTCCTGCCTCAGCCTCCCGAGTAGATGGAATTATAGGTGTCCACCACCTGCGTCCAGAGCACAGGCTTTGTCAGGCTTTCACCTCTCTTAATAGTTTGTTGGCTTCTGGCCCCACGGAGTGCACAGCTCAACTGAGAAGGCGGGACCTTTTCAAGGATTCATTAACTAATACTAGGCAGGAGGGCTTGGGATCTGCAAGGTGGAAGTGGGGCGGCTGGCCACTGTGGGAGAGGCTGGAGATGGCCCCAAAGGACAGAGGAGATTGCGATGGGCTGAAGGGTGTGGGTAGGGCACCCTGCAGGAGGGACAGCCAGGCATGAGTGAGGATGTGGAGCTGGAATGAGTTTTTGCTTTGTTGTTGTGGTTGTGGTGGGTTTTTCTGGTGTTAATTTTTAGCATGGGGTCTTACTCAGTGGCCCAGGCTGGAGTGCAGTGGTGTGATCAGGGCTTACTGTGGCCTTAAATTCTTGGGCTCAAGCGATCCTCCCACTTCATCTTCCCAAGTAGGTGGAACCACTGGTGTGCCACCATGCCCGGCTTATTTATTTATGTAGGAGACAAGAGTCTTGCTCTGTCACCCAGGCTAGAGTACAGTGGCACAATCTCGATTTACTGCAACCTCTGCTTCTCAATTCTCGTGCCTCAGCCTCCTAAGTAGCTGGCACTACAGGTGCCCACCACCATGCCTGGCTAATTTTTTTGTATTTTAGTAGAGACAGGGTTTCTCTGTGTTGCCCAGGGTGGTCTTGAACTCCTGAGTTAGGCAGTCTACCCACCTTGGTCTCCCAGAATGCTAGGATTACAGGTGTGAGTCACCACTTCTAGCCTTAATTTATTTTTTATTACTGACTTATTTATTTATTTGGTAGAAACAGGGTCTCGCTTTGTTGTCCAGGCTGGTGTTGAACTCCAGGCCTCAAGTGATCATCCTGCCTCAGCCTCCTGAAGTGTTAGGATTACAGACATGAGCCACCACACCTGGCCTGGCATGAGCTTGAAAAGTCTGAGGGAATGAGAGGTGCCCATTATCCTGGCAGGAGCAAGGGTAGGGCAGGAGATGAGTCTGGAAAGGAAATCATGGAGAGTGTATCATAAGCAAGACTTTTTAAAGCAATTTCCAAGGTTTTCTTGTCCTCCTGAGCTACCCATACTCAGTGAGAAAGGCCCAGGCTACTTAGAGAACGTGGCCAAGATCTTCCTGCTGCCCTCCAGTGGCCCATTCCAAAAGTGAGCATGTCTTATTTTGAAGGCGTCGGCTTCTGGCTCATGGGTTTTTGTTTTTGTTTTTGTTTTTTTGAGATGGAGTCTCGCTCTGTCGCCCAGGCTGGAGTGCAATGGCACAATCTCGGCTCACTGCAACCTCTGCCTCCCAGGTTCAAGCAATTCTCCTGCCTCAGCCTCCTAAGTAGCTGGGATTACAGACACACACCCCACCACGCCTGGCTAATTTTTTGTATTTTTAGTAGAGATGGGGTTTCACCACATTGGCCAAGCTGGTCTCGAACTCCTGACCTTGTGATCCACCCACTTCAGCCTCTCAAAGTGCTGTAATTACAGGCATGAGCCACCGTGGCCGACCTCTGGGTTGGTGTTTTTAAACAGTTTTTATTTTCATGGCTCTGGGTCCTCAGCCTGATTTTACTCTTGGAGTTCAAAGCCATCTAATTGGAAATGAAAGGAGCCTGATTGATTTGGCAACTCTGCAGCCAGCCCACATGGCAGTGATGCTATGGAGAAAGTGAGTGCTGCTCATGTGTGTGTCTGCGCCACACTCCCTGGCCCGAGGTGGCTGAGCCCCACTGCCCGATTGGCCTGGACACACAGAGCGTGGCGGGGCGGGGGCAGGGGCGCAACAAGTGCTCCCCGGATCCTGGAATCCCCAGAAGGAGGCAGCTAGTTGGAAGCCTCGATTCCCTCAGCCCTGCTTGCACAGCTGCCTCTGCCCCCTCACTCCTATCACCCAGTTTCTCCTGCTAGGAAAATAGGAAGCTGGTCCAAAAGGGAACTGCATGGGCAAAGGTGAACTGCAGAATCTTGAGTCTGCTCATTGAAATACAGATTCCCAGGGCCTGCCCAGACGTACTGAATCAGCATGTCTGGAGTGACGCCCAGGAATCTGCATTCTTTCGTTTTCTTAAGAGACAGGGTTTCACCATATTGCCCAGGCTGGTCTCAAACTCCCGAGCTCCTCAAGCGGTCCACCCACCTTGGCATCCCAAAGTGCTAGATTATAGATAGGAGCCACCACATCTGGCCAATCTGCAGTGTGTTTGTGTGTGTGTGTGTGTATGTGTGTGTGTAACGGAGTCTCTGTCACCCAGGCTAGAGTGTGGTAGTGCGATCTCAGCTCCCTGCAACCTCTGCCTCCCGGGTTCAAGTGATTCTCCCACCTCAGCCTCCTGAGTAGCTGGGACTACAGGCGCCTCCCACAACACTCAGCTAATTTTTGTGTTTTTAGTAGAGACAGGGTTACACCATGTTGGCCAGGCAGATCCTCCTGCCTTGGCCTCCCAAAGTGCTGGGATTATAGGCGTGAGCCACTGCACCCAGCCAATCTGCATTTTTCACAGGTTTCCCAGGGCCTCTGAAATCAAGCCAGGGTTGTGTCTTGGATGGGTCATCCCTGTGGGTTGATGGCCGTGTTCAGGGTAGACAGGCAGCAAGATGGCAGAGGGATTGGCATCCCCGAGATGGATGGTGCCTGGATGACGCCTGGATGGGACTGCTCCTTGAAGAACATTCAGTTGTCTCCTGAGATGGGAGGGTGGGCTACGGGGGCAGGAATGGAGGACAGGACCCCAAGTCTCTTACCCCTGAAACACAGCCTGGCATTTGGAGCCTTGGAGAACAGCTCTCTGAGGGGCCTACCCAGCCCTGACCTGATGAGAGACACTGTCCGCCTTTCATTTCCAGAAGGTTTTGTTCCTGAGGGGAGAAACACCCAACTTGTGGTCCAGCAAAGAAAATCCATGGCCCATGGCCAGAAAGTCACTGGTTCCTCACTTCAACGTTTGGTTTATAGCCATGTGACAGAAGAGGCAACCTTTCCAGTGATGACGAAGCCAGCGGAAAAACAAAGATGTGGGGGAAATGTGCATTACTTATTGTTTTAGCACCTTTTTCTAATCTAAAGTTACTTTGTTTAGAAACAGAGAAGTGGTGTGTGTAACTTAGTCGGCATGTGGCATTTTTAGAATTGGTCTGTTTCGAAATGTGAAGGAAAAAAATATTTTTTTCCTGAGTTTCCGTAAAACTTAGAAGTTTACAGGAAAAACATGCTTTTCCCTGACTCTTCTTTCTGCTTTGCCCCCTGGATTTCATCATTGCCACGTGTGGCCCAAGCAGCCGGCTTGAAGATGTATTTTATTATTGTTAGAATGAAGTCTTGCACCAAGACAGCTGGGTCCTATCAGAAAGTCCCTTTGCTTCCTTGTGCTCAGAAGGAAGAGTTTGCTGGGTGTGGAGGCTCACGCCTGTAATCCTAGCACTTTGGGAAGTTGAGGTGGGAGGATCACTTGGGCCCAGGAGTTTGAGACCAGCCTGGGCAACCTACTGAGACCCCTTGTCTCCAAAAAAAAAAAAAAAAAAGGCCGGGCGCGGTGGCTCACACCTGTAATCCCAGCACTTTAGGAGGCCGAGGCAGGCGGATCACGAGGTCAGGAGATCGAGACCATCCTGGCTAACACGGTGAAACCCCGTCTCTACTAAAAATACAAAATATTAGCCGGGTATGGTGGCGGGCGCCTGTAGTCCCAGCTACTTGGAGGCTGAGGCAGGAGAATGGCGTGAACCCGGGAGGCGGAGCTTGCAGTGAGCCGAGATCGCGCCACCGCACTCCAGCCTAGGCGACAGAGCGAGACTCCATCTCAAAAAGAAAAAAAAAATTTAGCCCAGTGTGGTGGCACACACCTGTGGTTTCAGCTATTCGGGAGGCTGAAGCAGAAGGATTGTTGAGCCCAGGAGGTTAAAGCTGCAGCAAGTCATGATCGCACCACTGCACTCCAGCCTGGGCAAGAGAGCAAGACCCTGTCTCAAAATAAAACATGAAAAGAGAAGGTAGGCTGGGCGTGGCGGCTCACGCCTGTAATCCCAACACTTTGGGAGGCCGAGGTGGGCGGATTACTTGACGTCAGGAGTTTGAGACTGGCCTGACCAACATGGTGAAAGCCCATCTTTACAAAAATACAAAAATTAGCTGGGTGTCGTTGTGGGCGCCTGTAATCTCAGCTACTCAGGAGGCTGAGGCAGGAGAATCACTTGAACCCAGGAGGCAGAGGTTGCGGTGAGCAGAGATGGCGCTATTGCACTCCAGCCTGGATGACAGAGCAAGACTTTGTCTCAAAAAAAATAAATAAAATAAAAGAGGAGGCAGAGCTGGCCATCTCTTCACCACCCTCCCCTTCGTCACTGCTTCTAGATCCCCGTGACTGAGGGTGTCCTCAGCTCTGCCCTGGAGTACCTTAGACTCTTTGAGTGTTGGAAGGGGATCGGGTCTGGGTGCATAACTTCCCAGCGGGAGGGTTAGATCCTTGCTATGCTAAGCAGTGATGACAGGCTGGTGATAACAGACCAAACTAAGCCTGTCTTTGTATGTTGGCAATGGCACCCCCAGGGGAACCTTGCAAATATGCAGATTTTAACATCCCTCATTTCAGATCTGTCAGGGACAAGTTCTTCTGGCCTGTCAGCTCCTGCCATACACAGTCCTGGAGCCTGGTGGCTCTGAGTTGCTCATTTGCGTTTGGCCACAGGGTTCTAGTCAGGGGAACTCCCCTCTCCCCTACCCTTCCTCCATGACTTGGCTCACTCCTGCTCCAAGCCCATGGCTCAGTGGACACTAGGCAGCTCTCTCCTGGGGCACAGGGAGGGTACCCTGGAAGCCTGAGTGGATAGGAAGCAAGTGTCTGAATGGACACTGGTACTAGGCCTTCCTTCTGGGATGAGGTGGCTCCCGCCAGAACTAAAGCTGGCTTTTCTGGCTCTGGCTGTGGCTGCCTTCTAGGTTTGTCTACTGCACATCTGACAGGTCTTGTGATGGAACCTCAGTGATACTAAGATGGAAACAATGGGGTCCTTGTCCTGAGAGGACTCCTGGCCAGATGGGGGAGGTGGGCAAGGAAACAGCAGTTTTAAAGCAGTGCTGCACGGGGCTGGGGCTGCGCCACATAGGGTCTCTGAGCAAGGCACACAGACCTGCCGTGGCTGCTGAGCCTAATTTACTGAGCTTTCTAATTGGGTCAGCTGGGTGAGGAGGACAGCGCCTGTGCAGAGGACATCTGTTCAGTGGTAGCAGCCACTGTCCCCAGGTGCCACGTCTTCTGTGTGGGCATCTCTTTCATAGCCCTGGAGTACCTACTGTGTGGTTCTGTTTCAGAGGAGCTGTTGCATGTTGCTATTTGTTCAACAAAATCATTGAAGTTTAAAAAGTTCTAATTAATAAGTGTGCCCGGGTAGGAAAGAACTTGGCCCAGGAGCCACCTCCCACCTTTTCCTTATTGTTAGGAAGAGCCCAGCAGTTTCTTGGGAGACAAAGGAGGGCATGAATCTTGACTCCCTGTGATTCCAAGATCACTGTCCCGCAGCCGGGTTCCTGACCCTAGGAGATGCGCATGAAATATCCTCCATCAGGGAAGGAATCTCCCTCCAGTGAGAACTCCCGAGAGGCTGATGATTGACCAGGATTGACAGGACAGGGAAAGAGCAGCCCTTTCACATCCCAGGTCAAGACCATAGAGGCCCAGAGAAGTGTTCCAACCTTCCCACGCTGGGACAGCCAGCCAGAGCCAGGGCTGAGCACTGAGCAGCAGGCCTCCGTCCTGGCTTCTCCCCTCTCTGGAAGCTTAGCATTAGACAGAGCCGCCGAACTGTGGTGCTGAAGGGTTAACTCGGCGCTCCCCAGAGAGCCGCACACTCCTGACCCTCCCGTCTTCCAGGCCCTCTCAGCTGTGGCCTTCTGGGCATAGCTGGGTCACGTGAGAGCCAGATGTGGGGATTTCCCAAGCAGTGGTGTGTGCGTGCGCACTGCGTGCATGCACAGCTCTGTTTACGTGGCATCTCAGCACTCAGGGGATTGGCCTGGACCCACACAGAGCAGGGGAGGGATGGGGTAAGGAAAGGCTCAGGGGCTCCCAGCAAACACCATGGGGGGCTGCACCAAGCCCTGCTCCCCTCAGACATTCCACATGAGCGGGTTGTTCCTGTTCGGGCTCCTGTTTCCTATAGCGTCCATCCTGCCAGAGACTATACTGGTTAGGGGTAATTTTTCTAAAAATCTCTTTAAAGGGCGTTGAAGCAGATGCTGGGAGCCAGCAGCCCTTCAGGGTGTTCTATAGGCTCAGAGGCCTGCATGGGAGCCACTGTGCCCAGCACAAGCCAGGCCTGTGTGCCCGTATGTGGTTCCAGAGGCCAAGCCTGGACTAGAGAGGGCAGAGCCGTGGGCACCAAGAGGGTCCTGGTGCAGTGGGGTAGCTGGGCCTCAGTTTTCCATGAGCCCTTGGGCTGGAGAGCAATCAGTATTCATCTTTCCATCAGCCACTGAGGGTTAATTGGGCATCTCCTACATTCAAGGTGTTTGGGGTGCTGACGGGGTTAGCCTTGAAGGAACTAAAGGTCTGATTGAAGAGACTCATAACAAATCTTTATTAAGCACCTACTATGTGCTATGCGCTTGCTAGGACTACAGCCCTAACCGGACATTTGGAGCCAGTGGGAACAGTCAGTGAACAAAGATCCTGCTCAGGGCATGATGAGGGAGACAGCAAACCTTGAAAAGTGGGTGTCCTCAACTTCAGTCCAGGAATGAATTCTCCTCCTACCCCTGACCCCCAGTCCCTACCCCTGTCTTGCACCAGTGGATGGCAGCATCCAGCCAGATGTCCCCGAGGCTCTGTAAGCCCTACCCCAAAGATGGGTCCAGTTATACCTTCAAGGCCTCCAGGACTCAGCCCTGCCGTCTCCTCCCTCAGACCTTCCGGGACCCAGCCTGTCTCCCCAAACCTACATGACTCCTGAAGCAGACAGGAACGCTGGGGAGGGTGTCTGTGGTTGTGTGTCTGATGCTTTTAGACAGAGGGTGGAGAGTCAGATGGTCTCAACCAGGAGCCGTTGATGCTCCCGAAATAGTTGGCGGTTGATTCATTGATAATCCGATAGCAAGAGTCCAGTCTGGAGAGAAGGAGACATTCCACATTTCGTTGTCCAGGGAGGGGAATGTCTGTCCTGAGTCCATTGCTGTTGACTCCATCACTCACTCACGGCTCTCAGGGAGACTGAGCCAGGGAGGAGGCGGATTGCAAGACTGGGGGCTGGAGACCAGCGGCTGCTGACTTCATCCCGCTGCCGGCCTCTCTGCTGCTCCTTCTCAGTGTGAATGCAGATACTGGCTTTGGCTCGGGCTTCTGGGGGAGCTGGTGGGTGGGGGAATTGGAGGGAGGATCTCCCAGTAAGTGGGGGAGGACCACCAAGGCAGGCCACCCCAGGGAGGCGGGTGGCTGGGATCCTGGAACTCAGAACAAACTTGAGTTTGTCTCCTCTGCATACAAATGCCCTGGGGTGGGGAGAGGTGAGAACCTGAGAACTGAGGGGGAGGCCGCAACCCGGTTGGGCAGCAGCTGCTGGGAGCAGAGGCTCTGAACCTGCCAGCCTCCCTGGCCAGCACCCCTCTCTCCACCCATAGCACCTCTCACTAACCCAGCACCTGTCTTTAACCAGGAAGCTTTGGGTCTTCTCAGCAGGGTGGAGGGAGGTGACAGAACTACCGGCTACTCCGTGCCAGGGCAGCCCCCTCTAGGCAGCCGCAGTGCTCCTAGGGTGTCCTTGGCTTCTCCATCTACACCCACTTAGGCTGGGCTGACCCTTCTGGCCCCAGGCCTGGCCTAGGCCAGCACCCTTGGACTTAGTCCCTAAGGGGCTGTGGAGGGTCTCCAGGCCCAGCCCCCACTGCACATCATCCCACCCCATCCCCCTCCTGAGCGGGGAAACTGCTCCTTGACTGCATAACCCAGGGCCGGAGGGTCAATAGTGCATTCCTACTCTGGGCTGGGCTGCCCCCACACATGTTCTGGATTCCGGGGAACAGAGGCAAGTCCTTTCTTGCTGAGAGCAAAAGGAATAGGAATATGACTACATTTACAAAAAGCAGCAGAAATAAATAAAGCCTTGGCCAGTGGCCAGGGAGGATCAGAAAATGACATCCCCCATGAGGACCCTTTGTTCCCAATTCCTGGCCAGCCTGCCTGGGCTTAAGTCTGATGCCATCACCTCTTGCTGTAGAGCCTTGGGAAAGAACTTTAACTTTTCTTTTCTTTTTTTCTTTTCCCCCCGAGACGGAGTCTCACTCTGTTGCCCAGGCTGGAGTGCAATGGCGCAATCTCGACTCACTGCAACCTCTGCCTCCTGGGTTCAAGCAATTCTCTTGCCTCAGCCTCCTAAGTAGATGAGATTACAGGCATGCACCACTACGCCTGGCTAATTTTATATTTAGTAGAGATGGGGTTTCAACATGTTGGACAGGCTGGTCTCAAACTCCTGACCTCAGATGATCCACCCACCTTGGCCTCCCAAAGTGCTGGGATTACAGGCATGAGCCACCGCGCCCGGCCAGAGCCTTAACTTCTCTGAGCCTCACTTTCCTCATCTGTAAATTACAGACTGTTGTAAAGATTAAACAAGAAAATGTTCATAAATGTTTAGCACAGCACCTAGCATGAATGTTAAGTAAGTGGAAACTGGTGTAATTATTCTAGCTCCAGCCCTACTGCTTATTTGCTGTGCAATCTTAGGCAAGTCTCTTCTCCTTTCTGGTTCTGAGTCCCTAAATAGTCCTTCCAGCCTGTGGGGTACCACCAAGAAGCCAAAGATGCAGCAGAGAGAGGGGACCTGGAGACAAACAATGGCCTGGCTTTCCATTTGGGATTTGCTTTCTGTCTTTAAGAAGATATCCATCAGAAATTCAGCTCTACTTGATTTCTTCTTGAGTACTTCTGTTTATTTAGCTCAGTGGCCCCAAACCCTCAGGCCTTGGGCATAACCAGCTACATAATTTGCAGGATCCACATGAAAATGAAGACTCTCATTCATAAATTATTAATGAAATCCCTGACAGAAGAGCATTAAATCAGCTGCAGGGACCCTTCTAAACCTAGGACCCTAGGCCACTGCCCAGATCACACTTCCGTGAAGCCAGCTCTGCCTTAGAGGCTCTGAGTGTAGGAGCAGGCCTGGGGTCCAAGCTGCTGCATTAGCAGCATTCACCCGTCGCCCTCCAGTGCAAGGGTACTCTTTCTTCACGCCGTGGGTATCTCTGACCAGCTGGCTGCTGCTTACCCTGGAACAAGCTTTTGTAGAGTTGCCCATGTCAGAAGCAGCTCACACACTAAACACCAGACTTCTACCCAGGTGTGCTTGGATTGGAAGTCATATTTGAACTATTTGTTTTCTGTCATCTTAATTGGTGCCATGTTTTTTTTTTTGTTTTTTGTTTGTTTGTTTTGTTTGTTTGTTTGTTTGTTTGTTTTTAAGAGATGGAGCCTTGCTCTGTTGTCCAGGCTGGAATGCGGTGGCGTGATCTCAGCTCACTGCAACCTCCACCTCCCGGGTTCAAGCAATTTTCCTGCCTCAGCCTCCTGAGTAGCTGGGATTACAGGCACACACCACCACACCTGGCTAATTTTTATATTTTTAGTGGAGACGGCGTTTCCCCATTTTGGCCAGGCTGGTCTCAAACTCCTGACCTTGCGATCCGCCTGCCTCAGCCTCCCAAAGTACTAGGATTACAGGCGTGAGCCACTGCGCCCAGCCTGGTGTCATGTTTTTTAAGACTTTTTAAGAATTACAAATTGGCCATCCATGTTTTTCCCAGATGACATTCACATGGTTTTCACTGTTGCCCCTCAGTTTCTGCTGCTCTGAGCATGACAACCTGTTTTAGGTCCTCTAAACTGAGTATCACATAGGCCAAACTACTTCTTTGTAAAGGAATGATAACCCTGTTGAGCTGTTGTAAAGATTTGAGTTGCTGTGTGCCTATGCAGTAGTGCCTACCACAAGAAAGTGCCCTGTTCATGGCAACAATGACAGTGACTGTTACTACTGAATAATAGGACTAGCAGCTCTTAAGCCCTAATTATTTGATGGCCTGAAAGTGGTGGCTAAATTTCCTGGTGTCCTAACCAGAAAGGAAGAGAAACGTGGAGTCTGCAGAAAACCGAAGAAATCTAGTCCTGTGCAGTTTAGTTGTGTGGGAGAGGAAAGGCTAAACTGCAGCCGTTATTTAGAAACCAGTTCAAAGCTGTAGTGAGGTAAGAACAGTATTCCCAAAGAGGGAGAGGGCTTGAGTGCTCCAGTGTGTGCAGATACTGAAGGATGGAAGGGCATGGAGAAGACAGGGAGGTGTTCATTCCATTGGGCCCCCGGCCTGTCGCCCCTCCCCTCCCCGGAGCCCAGGGCGGGGCTGTGGAAAGAAACTGACAAGGCTGGTGACCCAGCCCTGGTCCCCTGAGCCTGTGGTTCTCTTTCATTCTCCATGGAGTTTGTGCTGTTGGTTGTATTCATTCCGGTCTCTCCCACCTGGGCTCATGGCCCACTCTGGATTTATTAGTTTGGATGGATGGAACTTGCTTTACACCAGGGAAGCATTCCTGGAAGCATGGTTTCAGACTAGATTTGGATAAATTCAACCCAATTCTCACTGCTCTGGAGTTACTCAAGGTTAAAAGAAGCCTTACTATGAATCTATAAGGGCCCTTTTAAAAATTATTTTATACTTATTTATTTTGAGACAGAGTCTCACTCTATTGCCCAGGCTGGATTTCAGTGGCATGATCATGCCCCACTGCAACCTCGACTGCCCTGGGCTCAAGCAGTCCTCCCACTTCAGCCTCCAGAGCAGCTGGGACCACAGGCAGGCACCACCACGCCTGTCTAGATTTTTATTTTTTGTAGAGATGGGGTCTCACTATGTTGCCCAGGCTGGTCTCCAACTTCTGGGCTCAAGCAGTCCTCCCACAGTGGTCTCCCAAAGTGCTAGGATTACAGATGTGAGCCACCATGCCCAGCCTTTACTATTATTATTATTTTTAAGACCAGTCAAGTGCAGTAGTGAGACAGGGAGAAAGAGTGGAAGAAGTTTGACATGTAACTGATTGGGAACGGTTGAGATACTCACCATCTTCAGAGCAGCCAAGGACCCTCTCCTAACCTAGGCCTATCCAGGTGTTCCTATGAAGTCCTTGGATGTATGTGTGCTGGGTGGGGTA